TCAGTATTCGTTTTAAAGCAATCAAAAATATTGGATATTATTATTTCAAAACATCCCAAGAAAAAAAGAAAGAGAAATACTTCTTTCATAGATACATATTTTCATGACTTATTTCCTTTTATGTTTTATTTCCTAGTTAATTCTTTTCTTTACTTGTTACTTGTTCATGTCAAGTAAATTTATTGAATGTATTATCTGATAGATATGACAATTTATGTTTTTGTATTGACGTTGAAAGTGTATGTCAGTTGTTCTGCTGTGAATAGAAACAGTGCTAATAATAGTAATAATAATAATAATAATAAAGTTTTGATTTTATCTGGAAATGATTCAGTAGGATTATTACAACATTAATTTACGTTAAATGTATCAATGTGAAATGAAAATTATGTTGAATGAAGTTGAGAATATACATAGTTGAATGATAATTCAATTGTGTTTAATGGCTAAGTATTGATCAAACAATGTGTAAGTTCTGAGTTCAATTTCTGTTGAGGTCATAATCAATCGTTGCTTATAATCTTATATTATTACAAAGAATCTTTCAATTTCTCCTTGGTTTTTAATCTCAGTCTATGAATAATATCCAATTAAAGAGTAAACTGATTAGTGAAAGTTCTGTATAGTCTTGAAAATGAAGACTTATTTTATTATTATACCAAATGATCGATCAGGGCTCTTTACCATCACTTATATATAGATATACATCATGTTTGAGGATGTGATTTGGAATGATCCAGCTGAGACATTTGTTGCATATATACAGTCACTCCCTAATAATTTTACCTAACACTAATTTATCGATTTCTGGGATTTTAATTCATATACATTACTTAAACTTGAACAGTTGTGACCATCCTTACCTTATAAATTAGATATTAAGAATTCTCAAAAGAGATTCATTGAGAAATGTCGTATTTCATGCATATCGATCAACAAAATACCCTTAAGAATGAATAAACAGATATAACGTGGACTTGACTCCAATCAAATCTCACGTATTTGGGTTGATCGGAGAAATCAATCAGCATATGAATTAGTGACCCAATTTATACAGGTCAAAACAGTTAATGAGATAAGTGGATAATACAGGTACTCACAAACACAAACTTATGTAAATGTACATTAAAATTCGTAGTTTAACCTACGAGTATGCAAAAAATAACTAATCACACCAAAATGACTTAAATATTATATGATTTTTCTGGTCTTAAAATCTACCCGAACGCTCGATCTAATTTCCTGGTCGCTCTTAATTACGTCAAATATAACGTAAGAGAGAAGGCGAGAGTTATGTAAAAAACCTTTGACCTTAAGGTTAGTTTATGATTTATAGAGTTATACACAATTCGAATTCTGGAAATTGCTGGAACCACACTAAATATAGAAGTCTAGGTAAATATGTAAACAGAAACGTAACGTGACTCCGATTTCTAGATGTTTCTGGGAACTTTCCATTCAACGCTGATTAGATCGAGTGTTTTCAAACCCTTTCTAAGCCCTTATGGACATTTTTGAGCAATACTTTGGAACTCTCCAACAGTTGCATGATTTGTTTGGTTTTTAAATCTACTTGAACAAAGAATGGGGACTTGATACAAAATGTCATTAATAAAAATATGGTCAGCAAAGAAGTAGACTGGGAAAAATTGAGCCTAGCCAGAATATGATACCGGATGATCAGGATAATAACTGTTGAATATAGTATATATCAAGAGGTATAAACTTGATGATTAGACTTTCTGCAATAATTGCATTCAATGGTTGAAGATCAAACACGGTTGTACTTGTTCAGATCAATTCAATTATTTTCATCATCTTATTCTAGATCCTGAGTTCTTTCTGTAACTTTTGTCACTGTTTCACGATTGTTATTTATCAGCCTCATTTACTTTTTTCACACTACATTCATTCCTCATATTCTAAGTACCTTTCTTCTTTGTATATTAATGTGTACTATTGTGATATGTGCTACTGATGTTGACAGATATAAGTAGTATGGATCATCAATTGTAAGTAGAATGCTTAGCGGCAGAAGGTTGAGAAAACCGAGGAGAAGAGAACGAGAACAGAAAATCTAAGACAACTGATGGATATTTTGCAACTGAAGTATTTACTGTATGATTCTTAGATTTTACCAAGTTATTCTGTTATATTGTATTGAAATACAAATTGACTGTCTCCATTGATGTTCCCATTCACCACACTGTTCAAAACTTAAGATTGTACACATTTGTATTAGATCTGACAACAAATAATAACTAATTCCTATTCTCAATCTTCTCTGTATATATAAAACATGAGATACATTTTCAAAAAAAAATAGAGAACTGAATTGGACAAGTTGAACAAAATAAAAGAACATTGATAGTACTAAATTTTTTTATATTTTTCTGTAAATTGTATTTGACTTTAGTCAAATATTAATCATAGTAAACATATGGATATATATATATATATATGGAATATTTGTTTCTAAAAAAATCTTATACTTAGTCTTAAATAATGTGCACCATATGTCAGTGATTGGGTGGGTGAGTGAATGAGTGATTGAGTGAGTGAGTGAGTGAGTGGGTGAGTATGTTTTCTATGTCTGATTGATCAATGAATCAGTTGATTGATCAATAAATTGTATCAAGACTTTACATTTAAAAAAAAAGCGTTTGTATATTTATTTATAATATAAATATATATTTTTTTCATTCAGTATCCCATTCCAGATAAATTAACTTCCAGTTTTTGTTGTTGTTGTCTTTGTTGTTTTCATTCAAAGAATCACGAAAATGGTTTTACTGTTACGCTCAACTAAACAGTGTTTTCATTTTGCCTTTATTGTATAGGTATTTTGTAGTTTTACGGATAAATGTTTGTATTCATTTCATATAACTCTGTATGTATATAGATATAGAAAATAAACAAAAATATAAAGAGAAAGAGAGAGAGAGAGAAGTCACAAACGCAAGACATTTCTCTTTTCCACCACTACTTGTATTTTTTTCGATTTAAGTAATAATGATGTGTTAATGATATTGACTGTTGTAGGGGTGGGAAGAAACAATCAAAAGTAAGAAAATAACAAACAGAGTAACAAGAAAAGATATCTGAAGAGAAGACATAATCAAGGACAACTGAACTGATGAATGACTGATTAATTGGTTGCTTTCTTCAAACAATGTATACAAATTGAATGAATTGTTTTCTTCAATTAATTTATATATGTAAAAATTCATTGTAAACAGAAATGAATGATTAATGAGAACGAATTGTTTACATAAAATAGTAGATAGTCTTTCTGCCTTTCTCAGTAAACATGCTATTTTCCTCTGGTAGAGTTTTATGATATTCTACTTATTTCGTTAATTGATCAGTGTATTTTTGGTACCCTTATAATTTGTAATACATAAATGCATATAGAATGAAATAGATTTCTTTGGTTTTAAACTCTATATTTATCCGGGATTTAATGGTTATATGTGTACATGTAAATGTATACGTGTGTGTGATTTTTTTTGTGGAAAAGCAAAAAACTTTGTTTACGTTATATGTATAATTCATTTGTACTAACAATAAAATTTTTGTTAAATCAGGACTAGATTTTTGAATGAGAATGAGTTTTGTTTTACATATAATGTAATTACGCTGAATTAAACATTTTAACAAAAAAGTAGTGAGAAACCATAAAAATGATGTGCAAAGAGTAAAACAGGAATGAGTTACATGTGTTTATTCACCTGATCGGTTTCATTATACAAATTAACATTGTGAACTTTATGAGTTTCCATTATGAAAAAGAAATGTACATATACCATGTACGAAACGCTTTATATATATATATATATATATATATATATATATATAATATATATATATATATATATAAAGAATGTGCATGTTCACCTATATTATTTGACACCAAACTCTTTCTCTAATGTAAAAGAGCTGGATTAAAATTAAAATAGATAAGATGCCTACATCAAAAATGAATTCCATGTTAATAGTGATTATATGTTTAACTTAAAAAGATGTAAATTCTTACCATCACCATCATCAATTCACACTTGTTACCGACGTTCTTCATTTATAAAATTCAATGTAATTTTTTACACATAATTTTTCTCAATATACAATTTCACAAGCAAAATGATCAAAAAATTTCAAGAGAATAAAATCAAACTTCAAATGAATAAATAATATTACACTTGTTATTCAATGAAGAGGAAAAACAGAAACAACAAACAAAAATGCAAATATTTTTGTTTTTTTTTCTTTAAAAAACTAAATTCCTTTACATATATTTACTAATAAAATTAATTAGTTTTGTTTCTAATTGATTAAACTAGTAAATATGATTGAATATATATTTTACATGATAAAATAATATTTATACTACACAATAAGATATTAAATAGTATGATAAATATAATTTAACCTGATCCCTTTTTAGTATTGTAATACAAACAACACAGCCATGTTTATCATCAATGCTTAGAATACTATTTACTTATTTAGTTACTTAATTATTGATTTTTTTCAAAACAACAACAACAACAAAAAATGGTGAACAACTAATCACTAACTGAATAAATTTAAATTTTTAAAATAAATCAATAGTTTAAATTCTCTTATTAGTGAGATGAAAATAACACGTGTAGTCTATGAATAATAATAATAATAGTAATAATAATAATAATAATAATAATCGATATTCATTTTAGAAATGCACCTGTTCAAATTATTGATTTAAAAATTGACAGATATAACTTAAATAATCGATAAATGACGTAAGAAAATGCTAACTATGTATATATATATATATATATATATATATATATATATATATATATATATATATATATATATTTAAACAAGCGATAAATGTTAGCGTGCATATACAGAATTTTATATATATATATATATATATATGTAATAAGTATTCATCATTTTACAAATTATTGATCGTCTATTAAAGAAAATATATATATATGATTCAATGGATACAATTAAACAATACTATCATCATTATTACTAGAACTATGATTCATTGTATTATTGATATTTGGTCCAGATACTGTAACATTTGAAGTTGTACTAATGATTGCATTTTGACTAGGTGGTGCAGTTGGTGAATGATTTTTATTTGAATATTTTGAAGATGGTATAGTTGTGCCTAATATTAAATCATTTGTTTCACCAATATAACTGGAACCATTATTATTGTTATTATTATTATTATTAATCAAATAATCGCCTGGTGTATTACTAAATGCATCAAGATATTTTTGTTCTTCCATAGTTTCATGTAAACGTTTATGTCGATAAATATGCCATAATTCACAAGTTAAATCACCAGCCATTAAATCACCAACATTTATTGATATTAAACGTATTAAAAAAACACCATCTGGACGTAAATAATTTTCAACAAATTTACTAGTTGCCGCTTTATCTGTATCACGCATAACTGACATAATTTTTAAATATTTTCGAATGAATTTGATACGACATTTAGATGATCCCATACGATAGAACCAAATAATAAAACTACTCAATGTAATTATACCAACTAAACAATGCCAAAACCATAGAAATATGTAGATTTTCTCTAGGAACATATTCAATGGAAGGACACATTGTAGAGTATATCTAAAAAATACATTTTTTATTGTTTTCGGGGAAAAAAAGCACAAAAAAAGAGAAATCAATAGTAAGTATATAATTCAAACTGTTGTTATCATAGAAAAAAAAGATTTAAACGTAATAGAACCATGAATACTACCTATTTCCTAATTCTTCTACTCAAATAAACACTAATTTGTCAGTGTTAACATGAATCGATCAAAATATCTGTATTATGTCATGAATTTATTCCTAAAATGTTGAGATTTACTGTCGAGATTTAGAACTATAAAGTCACTTATTTAAATTTATTGACTCATAAACCGAAGACTGGAAGTCGTTAAAGAAAATCATTGAAAATCAGGAAGGATTGTGTAAGACTGTTTACCAGTGCTCATTTTAATCCCATTATGGCTGTAGGCTATTAACAGAAAATCCTAAAACTAGGTTTTGTGTTAAATGAAAGATATCAACAAGAGGTCACTGCTGCCTTGAAAATACTGATGCTTATCGTGAAATATAAACCCTAGTCGTTCATTTTCACTAATCGCACTAGATTATTTGTACCACCACATACCTCCGATTGATTTAATGTAAAACCATTAGCTCTCAAAATACATAACTTCTCACTGATAGCCATCAAATAACTTAGCATAAATGATGTTGAATCATTTAGACCAATAGCCACATTTTAGCTTGATAGAATTCAATCATGTCTATGGGATAAATAGCTATATCAATCGTTACCATTCATAGATCAATCAGTATTCAATAGAAAATTATTAACAACCTGATCACATCAAACGTAATACCTCAATCTTAATATTTTAATGCACATTACTAAAATCATTACGTAAGTATTAAGAAAGTAGATTTGAAACATATTCTACTCTACATTCAACCGTTTTTTTCTAAAAAAAACTTGCTCAGAGATCGAACTGCAACTTAGATTCATGATGATATTCCCTAAACGGATTAATGTTTAAATTTAAATAGTCACTTCTTTTTCCGTCAACATATATATGGAAAATAGAGAAATAACAAGAAAAATATCATTTCTATTAGCAAGACAATGACGAAGAAGAACTAGCAGAAAAAAGAGCAATATGTATAAGGATTATAATTTTGAAGTTGAAGTATTGGAATTTTTCAACAACAACAACAATAACATCAACGACAAGAAAAAATTATTCACAAAACACCAATATGGAAACACATAACAATCTACTAATTTTCTCATAGTATAAATTGTAATTTAAGTGGATTAGAGCATTTGAATAGAACTTATCTTTGTTGCTTTATGTATCATAGACTATTTGTTACCTTTTTTTAAAATCCATTTTGTTTTCAGTTATCTTTGTGTTGTTTTTTAAGATTATTACTTCTCTTACAAAATGTTTCGAACAAAAAGAAAAGGGATAAGAGAAATCCCATCAAGTTTAACAGGGATGAAATAAAAATTCTCGTGAAAAAACAACAACAAATTATTATTCAATAGCTTGCTTCTAACTTACTAACTACTCTTAGGGTATTGAAATGAGTTATAGAGATAGTAACACCATTTTATTTAGTAAAAAAATAGTAATAATAATAAGTTAAACTTTATATATATAAGCTGATTTGAAATGAAGGATAGATATACAAAGCGAATCGTATTGTTATACAGACACAAAATGAAGCGGAATGATTGCCTGACATTTATAGTGACTGTTTCATATTAGTGAAAGTTGAACGGTAATAATGATGATGGCAATAATAATAATAATAGTCTCAGCTCTGGTTGAATAATTTTTTTGTTGAAAATTCACAACTTAACATAATTTCATATTGTTTTCCAATAGAAATTTATCAGTTTATATGTACTGTCAAAGTGTAGATAGAAGAAACTATCAAATGTGAACACTATACGATAATCAACTGACTATTAAGTTTATCTCATTACAGATTTCAAAAACCTAAATTTATTTATTTCGTTAAAACTCAAGTTTATGATAAGAATTGTTAATCAGTTTCATTAACATTTATAAAATAAGTTAGATTTCGCAGTTCAATATTAAACGTATATAAAAACAATCATAGAGAATCAGATCAAACAGTTCAAACATAGTTTATCACCGAAGTAATTTCAAATTCTTTATATTGTTTATAAGGATATTATCATTATAACTTTAGTGAACTAGGATACTGATTTAATAGCAATGTGAAAATATATCTAAATGATTCATATCAGAAGCGTTTTGTGGATATTATAGTAATTCCAGTGGTTGAGATCATGAGTCAATTGAAGCTAGACCACCATGGAAAACCTGGAGGCACTAGATGGCCGTTTCGTCCTATTGTGCGACTCCTCAGCAGTGCGCATCCACGACCTGAATGAAACAATAAATAATGACACCGTGATTTGTGCTACTCGTGTCGACAGACATCAGTAGTATGTAACATCAATGGGAAGTGGGATGCTTGTCAAAAGAAGATTAAACTGAAGAGAACAGAAAGGAATTGGAATTAAAGCAGAATTGGAAGAATCATGAGGGATGCAAAGGACAGCTGAAAGATATGCAGATTATGTATTTGATGGACGATTTTCACATTTTACTAAAGCACTGTGTGATTGTTCATCAAACAATAAATTTTTCTTCCCCACCTGAGTTCTCGTTCACTATATTGTTCGGGACACTGAAAGAGGCAGAGTATCAGTTATCATTAAGTTTATGGATTGTTGTTATGGATCACAACATCAATATCTCAGTGACTGCTTCTAACTAATTAGTGTTCTTGTGTGCATATATGTGACACAGTTTAGGAATCAATAAGTGTTGGCTTCAGTAGTAATAGTTTTTCTTAAGAGTAAACATCATACTACATTATTTACTTAGATAAGACATGGGATTTTGTATTTTAAGAAGTTAGTATATTGGATTGTCTTGGAGCGGGATTGATATCAGTATTGGTAAAGTCTCAAATAACCTACCTTCCTACCTCCCAATTAATTAATAATACAAGAAGGTCCTTGATGGTCTTTTCAAAACTACACCATCTCATTGACCTCTTTCTGTGTAACGTGATTGGTTAATTTCGCCTTTAGTTTTATAGTTTTATTAAATTACAAGGTCATAGCTGTCACTATATAAAAAAGTAGTTTCACTACGATTTCGGTTTTTTGCAATTTTCCAAAGTTTTTCAGTTTCTTACTTCTCTATAGTATTAGTTGTCCAGTCTATCTGACTCACATGGGCTTGTTTTCTAACAGCTATTAAAAAGTAGATAAAATTTTGTTATAATTAACACTCGATAAATCAATAATCCAAGAGTAGAAATGATATTATTTCTTCACACATAGTTAATTTGAAAAACATCTTTGAATCTTTATTGCAATTAATCAAAACCTATTTCATGGATTTCATTTATTTTCCATTTTAATCCTTTAAATGAATAAAAAAATAATAAAACTCTCCCTATTCAACACCATGTATGTTTAAATATAATTAAGAATTTTCCGTACAAACTATGCGAAATTCTTTAATTCCTAAGTACTTAACTAGTAACTATTAAAAAAGAAAAACAAATAAAATGTTTTATACAACTTTTCCTATTTGTGTTGCGTGTAAATTGTGAAATCTTTCAAAATAATCAATAAACAAAGGAATCCTAAACTGTTACACTTTACCGAATCTATTACAATCAAACAATTTAAACCTAATTCATGTATCCATAAAGAAACAATTAGACATCATATTTTACCCTGATGATTTTATTTCTGTGAGATTATTATGTGACCAGTGGGGCTAATCCATGTCGGGTAGAGACAGGTATCTATCTCATTACAATGGAAGATGGTCGCGCAATTTCGTGGATTGGTTGGTGTTAGACATTATCACCATTGGATGCCGGCTCAGTGGTTCAGTAGGTTAAGCGTTTGCGCGCAAGACCGAAGACTCTGGGTTCGAATCCCGCGAGCGGGATCGTGGGTGCGCACTGCTGAGAAGTCCCACGATAGGACGAAATGGCCGTCCAGTGCTTCCAAGTTCCCAAAGGTGGTATAACATCAGTCGGTTCATGGTCTCAATCAAAAAAATACTATGTAGGACTTTGTTTTTATTTTTTCATAATATGTAATCAAAATTCTTGTATGCTAATACTTACTTCTGAGCTTAAGTAAACTAGTCTATATTACATAATCTACTGTCTCTATGCTTTTCTACAATATTCAACTATTTAATCAATAAATAAGCGAATGTTTGAACAGTTATAGTTCTTTTGTCTTTACATTTTGACTCAGTTTATTCTAGACGGTTCTGATATAAAATCTGTAAAGTTATTTCTTTTTCATGATTAATACTTTGGTTCTAGATTATAAACAACGGAGGAGAATCCATGAAATAAATGAATTCATGATATTTTATTTTAAAATTTCCTTTAAACAATGATTATCTACCACTGATATTCATTTGTGGAATGTTGATAGCTAGTCTTTCTTATTTCCATATACATTTTTTTAATGAATAATTTCATTTGTGAATATGATGTATCAATGTTAACAATTAGCAGAATATACAAATCTGATGTTAATAAGATCACAAGTTTCACAATTAACAGTATAGTACAATAGATTTGATTAAAAATAAAACAATCACATTTATTAAGATTATATGGAAGTGTAACTAAAAACAGAAAAAACCAATATACAATACACACTATGTAAACATCATGTATAAGTAAAATGATTGAGTGATAACTGATATAACAAATTGTTTGTTAGTTATTTTAAAGTAAAAACAAAATCGAATGCACTTGGATTGTATGATGTTTTCAGTTAGTATATGATTATTACATATTGTACATGATACAGTAGTTAATGGTTTAAACAACTGACTTCCAATTAGTATGTTATAGGCTCGGATAGTCCCCAACACTTAATGTTTACTGGTATGTCAATAACTTGGCAGGACTAGGCTATGTTATTAATTCATAGAGACACTGACTATTGGAGTGAGTTGTATTGGTAAGAATAAGCTACTTTGTAATGG